CTCCTGAATGGTCAGACCATAATAGGCCAATAATATTATGCTAATGGCATTCATTGTGATGCCTGAACCTCCTGTGTACTACATTGTAACGACCTAGGCAACCATTCTGCCTCCTTTGAGCCTCCTTTGAGACTCCAATGACAACCTGGCAAATTTTATGGTCGCACACAGGAGGCACAAAGGTCGCCATCCTGTGTAAAGGCTCCATAACATCTTGGCGATGTCGAAGCCCTTTAGGCGGATATGAGTCGTACTAATACCCACACCTGGGGTATATATTGCAGCATTATGCTCATGTGCGTACTATACTCAAGAAAATATGGTACCCTTTGGGAGAGAATTTCTTATTTCTAATAGTTTGTCTTCCTTGTTTTCTTATTGGGGGCATGTGTTTAAAAAATGGGTCATTTTTCCTATAATACCAAATTAAAATTTTTTCTCAAGTCCTATGCATACCTTAACTAGTGTATATTTATATATGAAGCATTTTTGAAGAATATGAGATTCTAAACCTGCTGTTATGAGTGGCCTGTATTGCAGGTTTTATCACAGTCACTCCCAGCACTTGTGTTCTGTGTAACCTACTCTCTTTGTTTGTCTACACTCCAAGAGATTTGTATGAAGGGGGAGACACTTGATGTGTGTTATGTTTTATGAAACAGTTACAGGATGTACCCTACTGTGTTACATGCATACCTAGTTACCAGCTACAGGCCACATTGTGTAGCTTGTGGACGTCAGTATGTCAAAGTAAATATAGTAAACAGTAGTTTACTTTTCACTGAATAGAGGATTCAGTCACAATAGTTTGTGTTGTTATTATAATTAATTTTGAATTTTATAGTTTATGTTTGGAAGTTTAATGTTTAATAGCATAAGATTATTGAAACCTGTATTAAGGTAATGTAAGAATGTGAGAAAAAATAACACAACGAAGCAACATTTTCATGAGCATTATTACACTTTGATCATCAGTATTTTAAACATACCTCAGCTTATCAACAGATGGAGTGTTCTGTACTTGACTAGGAAACTTTATCCATATTTTGTATTGATTTCATTCCTTAACCAGGTATTGCCAAGGCAACCATGCATTTAATTAATAATGTCTTATGGCACATAATGTAAGCTGTGTGATTACATGGCAGATGCTAGTCACCGTCTGTGACTATAGTTACTGTTTCAAAGCCTGTGAGATTTCTTTATATCAAGTGAGACCTGTAAAATTAGCTTATCAGTCCTACACTGAGACTAAGATCTGACAAACAGTTCCATGAAACAAGAGTAGGCAAAGAGACCCTCATGTCTTGGCAGTACAGGATGATATCAAATGTAGAATTATAAATATTTTGCTTGTGTATGTGAAGCAATGAATTATGTATGATGTAATACTAATGACATGAGCAAACAATATTGACACTAGTCCCATAGTCCTTGCCAATAGGACTAATAGAAATTTGCCTTTTTTAAGGGTTTTGCTATATGTTACCATTATAAGGACTAGTGGACTGAAAATGTTAGTTTCTATCGCTGAACTTTTGATCTGAATATGAATTAACAAATAACAAATAATGAAATAACAATAATTTAATGTTTTAAATACATCATGTAGTCTAAAATGTCATTATTTTAATAAATGAAGTTTTAATGAACTTCTGATATGATTAAAACTAGTCCTCATTTAATTCATCACATCAGCTGGTAAGACATCAAATGTAGCTCACCTCTATGGCATCAGGTTAACGTCACCCACAGCATGGACTAAATGGTAAAGCACTTAATCTTTGTTCAACATTTTCATGTCTCCCCGAAGATATAATCCTTGGTACCAAGATAACACATATATACCTGAATATCTGGATTATCCTCAATGAAAGTTAACACCGACTTTGGGGTATACACGTTGTCCTGACGATGTCACCCGGGATATAAGTTGTCGTATCAACCACCCAGACAACAGATAAACCTTCTAGTGTGTCTTTATCAGCCTTGTGTAATATCAACTTCAGCACAGCCAAATGATCTTTCAGTACTGAGGACATATTTTATGGCTGTTTGCCTACTTTTATTTACTTGTTCGTGGTAGGTTTATAATATTGGTCAGTGTATTGTGGCCCACCACGATGGAATTTATTGCCTTGAAAGTAGAGTGTCAATAGTTAAATAATGTCTTCACAAATTTCAATAAGTGTCTTTTGTATGATTTATTGTTGCTCGTTCAACCTCCGGTCCTCACTGAAATGAGAGTTCATTGACGGGAACAGTAAATGTTTGTCTAGTGTGCCTTGGTTGTGAAGTGCTAATTGATATCGGAGTGTTGAGAGGCTGTTGAGCACTGACACCAGAGAGATGTTTGCCAAGTATATGGAGCTACCATTACATGGGAAGAACTTTCCTATCAATATATCCCCCATTCTAATATTCAGTTAAGTATTAAATGTTTTTTAAGATACATATTTTTAGAATCAAGCTGGTCTAACTTTCAAATAGAAAAAAAGGGGATTTAGTGTAAATTTATTGATTATTTTCCAAATTCACACTTTTCTAAAGAGGCTTACAGGGAATTCCAACCTTTCAACATTGTAAAATTGTAATCAATTTGATATATATGTACAAAAACAACCAAAATGAAAGATGTGCTGTTATATATAATGGCGATTCTTTGATTTTGATGGTTTTGTAATACAAACACAAATGGACAACAAAGAAATTCATAAAAGGATTTATTGTTTATTCCAGGGTTCAAATCGTGATCTCATAACATTTTGAGAGATCATAGTTAAAGGTCAAGGTAACTGGAGGTCATTTGTAAAGTATGTGTGCCATGTTATGTACTTTTGCAATTGATAGATTACAATTGATGATCAACATAAATATTAGTGTTTGGTCACTGTGACTTACTTTTATCTACCTCTTGCAAGTGATTTCAAAGTTTGCGGGGGTCATGGGTGGCCCAGTCATCTAAGGCAGCACAATTCACAATATAATATATGCAGAGTTGCATCCCTTAGGTGTGTCAGAAGCTCGTTTTTAGGTTTGTCAGCACGATCCCACACAAAGCTGATACACCATGATATAACTGAAATACTGTTCAAAGCAGCCTCATAGCTCACTCACTCAAAGTTTGTGTATCTAAACTATTCTTCTGTGGTGATTCTATGGTAGAGTAGGTCCTTGTATGCCATGCTTGTCATAGAAGCTGACTAGCAATTGACAATTTTATGTTTGGGCGGTGGGGTTGGGATGAAAAGGTGGTTGGTGAGAACCTGTTTATTTTAGATGTTTACTGAACCCACAACACATTATTTTTCAGAAACCTGACTGGAACTCGATGGACTATTCTTGTTGTTTGTTTGTTGTTTAACACTCCACTCAGCAATATTCCAGCTATACATGAAGGCAGTCTGTAAATAATCGTGTCTGGACCAGACAATCCAGTGATTGACATCATGAGGATCGTTCTATATAATTCAGATACGAAGACATGCATCAACCAAGTCAGCGAGCCTCACCACCAGAGTTAGAAACTAACAGTTTTTGTCCACTAGTCCTTATAATGATAACGTATAGCAAAACCCTTAAAATGGGCCAATTTCTACTAGTCCTTAGGATACCTTTACTAATGGGCAGTTTTGTAAGGACTACAGGACTAGTGCCAATTTCTAACGCTGACCACCTGATCGTGTATTCTTCTTGTGACACATTTAAGTAACATTACTTCACTGCATCAGATTGCCAGAATGTTCAGTACATCTTTATGTTTACTTTATTCACACTTGAGATTTATGAAAGTTTACACATTGCTTTATTTGTAGTCCTATGTTGATCTGTAATCCTGCCAGGGGCATCCATGGTGATTCCTTATCTGTAGCAGTGGATCAAAGGGAAACAACTCCTCATACCCTTGCGCTTGGATGTGTACCTATATCATACACATCAACAATAATAGACAAATATGGCTACCAAAACAATAAAAGCTTTCATAAAACATTTTCAATGAATTTTATTACATTTTCTGCCGATGGTTGCTTGTCTAATATTTGTACAGTATTCATTGTAAACCGTCAAGTTTAGTTACTGTACAAAATTGATGTAATAATTTAATAAGTCCATGTATGACCTGTAGGTTGATCCTAAATTTGACAGTATGTTGAACATACATTTTCTTGCATTCTAGTTCACTGTGAATTGTTTTAACAGTGAAGATTCAGAAATGGAAACACAGACCTATTCCATCCATAGTGGATGGAAGGATCAGAGGAAAGTGTCTCATATCTGTTCATGTTTATAATCACAATTCTTCAAAATATTAATGGAAAAGAGTAAAGTAGGTTGTGGTTCCTGCAAAAGCAAAATTAAAAATTTCTTTTAACTTTGGCTTTTCTTTTTGGTATGGGAGACAGGATTCTGTCATGATACAAACTTGATAAAGGGATATATAACATTATGTGTCTATGAAATGGAGGATGACATTGTCCTGCTTCTGCAAAACTGCGATCAACTTGTATCTGTCTTGTTATATCTGTTACAAGGGCACTACCACCATCAGTTGCAACTCTGAAACCCATGTCCAACTGTGACAGACTATCATGATACAGAAACATGTCTGTTGGGCAAAGAAATTTCATGAATACTATTTGTATATATTGAATCATCAAGTGATTGACCAACCTAGCCACTGAGCTAGACCACTTGATCCCGTCACATCATACAACCAGCATAACACTATCCCCACTGTTTCCAAGTCAGTTGCCTCCTGCAGCTTAACTAAGCAATGGAGTGATGGAGACACATTCTAGCCTGGGTCTTCACCGGGGATGTATACAATGTACTTTGTTTTACTGTAATTATCCCAAACTATATTCAAGTTGAGATACATGTCATGGTGTTTAGATTAGCTTATTTTGAAAATATATAGTACGAAAATAGGCAGTCTGTGCCAAAAGCTTTTGAATCTACTAGCCTGAACTTGGCTTTTCTAAGCATTTTCTAAGCGTAGTCTAACTGTTACGTTTCTTTGTGAGGAAATTAAGGCGATGACCTGGTGTTACCTGCAGGTTAGTATTGAAAGGAGACAACACTGATAATGAAGCCCATGACTAGTAGCAGACTGTCATATCCTTGTCACAGTGTTGCATCATGGGATGAGAAGTGATACTATCCCATGCTGCATTTGGTGGACTGTATACTCATGGTAATAGGAAAAGTGTCAAATAGCAAAACAAAACATTTTGACTATGATTCATGGAATATTAAACATGAATTCAGAATAATGATGTACAGTAAACTACGGTTAAAATGAATTCAAAGGGACCTCTAATTTTAGTTCATTATAACCGTAGTTCGTTATAAGTATATATATATATACAGCACATTTACAGCAGATGGCTTGAACCAAAATAGTAGTTTGTTATATCCGTCTGTTCGTTATCAGCGTGTTCGTTATAAACATATTTTACTGTTTAACAGTTGGTTAGAAATATGATGTTTTTACAAGTAAATGATGATTTGTCGGATGTGGGCAAACAAACCATGGCTTCCTATTTAACATGCATAAACTAATGGAGATGAATGAAAATATTTGTTACATACCTTTACACTATCAATTCTGCAAGACTTTTCATTTACATATACATTTTCTCACTAAAAATAATTCTTTCTCACCAAAAGTAATACTTGTTCAAATTGATGCAAATTATTTTGTACCCTTTCCAAGATAATCTGCATATATTTGTTACTTCAAAGTTTTTTCCACCAGAGAATGTTGACTGCAATCAAGCAAAGCATGTTTATCACACACTATTTTGAATGTACAATACAGATCTCTGAGGAAATGAAGCAATGTTGAGTGCAAATTAACATGTACATGCTGAAGGTTACATCTACTTGTCTCCTCTCGTTATGGCATCAGTGAGTCATAAAGGCCAAACTTGGCTCAATATATATATCCACATTTGGAATATACAGGTATCACTGGAAACCAACATGAAAATCACTGGTAACCAACACAGCCTCGGAAATGTGTTTTCTTTAAGACTATTCCAGAAGACTTGTATAAACCTTATTTCACTAGTACTGTCAGTTATATTCTGTTCCACTTTGTTTCAAAATTAAGGCATTGAGAACTGGTTCAAATTATAGCCCACAAATGCTACTTGTCATTGAGGACTACCTTCACTGGATGTTTACTTGTCCTCAGATCAGCACCAGTTACTAGGCTAGCAGACCAAAGTCAGTGAAGACTACTATCAATGGATTTTTACTTGTCCTGAGGCAGCACAATTTAGTAGTCTCAGGCTGGCGGACCAGCATAGATTTCTAAGCATGCCAACACATACAGACATCACTAGTACAGGGTTCACTGACCTGGGCCCATTTGAACATTTTAAATAGTCCAGAGGTACACCCACACTTGCCCATACAGCACAATGTTAAAATGACCCATTTTATTTGAGAATGTGGGACTTTTTTCAAATGTAAAAAGCACAAGGCCCCACCCTGGAATTATCCCTGCTAGTAGGTAACTCCACACATGACCAGTATGCTATGTATTAATGTGCCACTGCAATCTTGAGAAAAGACAAAATATGCATCAATTCAATGCTGAAATTTTAAGATACGTTTTGAAACAACTTATAAAACAAATGGTATCTGACAGACACTTGTATATTAATCTCTATAAACAAGACTGTGAAGTATTGATGATTATCCCTGAAAGCCTATTAATCTATGATTGTCAACTATAGCATTGTGAAAGTATCTGGTAGTTTCTGCTTGGAATGGGCTTCCTTTTTGTTGAGGGTGTTGAAGGTTCAAACTTTATTGTATCAAAGTTTGCACTTTTTACTTTCATACTGCTGCTCTGGTTACTGTGGACTCGTCGTGACCGCGCTGCAGATTTGGGTGGGGATGACCGTGTGTGTCGCGGGCGTCGAGGTGCCACTGGGCTGATGTCACGGGAACTGTCCTCATCTTTGTCACTGTCATCAATGATAGTGACATAGTGGTCAGGAATGCGATCAGATTTCGGCCGGGTTTTTTTCTGGCTCACCTCATGTTTCTTTTTTACAAATGCTTTCTGTGGGCGGACAAACATTGCATTGTGTTTGTCATAGAGTCTGTCAACATCTGACTCAAGCTGAGCAATATGCTTGACCAGATAATCTTTCTCTAGCTGAAGACGTTGGTTGCGCCGTTTCTCCTCTGACAGCTTGTAGTTGAGATCTCTCTCACTTATGGTTGACCTGACAAAATGAGAAAAGAGAAAATGTTAGCACTGTAATTTCTAAGGTCTATGTTATAGAACCAAATTTACTTTAATTACATTAACAGCAAAACAAATGCTGAGGCAGTTTTTCACTTTATCAGGTGTCATGAATTGGATTTAACGTTTGTTCAAGATAATTGCACATATATGTAGCGACGTGCATATAATGTGTGTCGGTGGTTGCAGGTACTGTCTTGACTTATGCTGCTTTTTATTGTGATAGCTCACTGAGATACCATGCCACAGTTTAACATGGATACCCCAGTCGGACACAATGTATTAACCCCGAGCTGACCGGTCCCCGGCAGGCAGGCAGGGAAGCAACAAGTATCGTCTTTGAACGTCTTTGGGTAACTAGGGTATTGAACCACCAACCTTACGCTCTCTGGGCAGATGCTCTATCCACTAGACCCTATATTGTTTCAAATAATACAGAATACAAGTGAGACATAAGTCATATTTCCAGGAAGTCATCTATGTTAAAATAGCAAGGGACTCTCAATCATGCAACTGCGGTGTGTTTAGACATGAGTATTCCAAATGACCTATGCCTGTCATAAGAGGCAAAGACTCGGTGACTGGGTAGATTGCATGATCATAATATCAATCACTGTTTTGTCTGGTCCAGCGCCAATTTATTTTCAGGCTGCCATCATTTTGCTGAGAGTGGCATTAAACAACATACAAACGTATAGATACTGACCTTTCCACCAGTTGTGGGAGAGTCATACTCATACGGTCCACATCTTCAAACTTCTCCAGACACTGCATCATCACCCGATCTAGGCAGTTCATCCTGTCCAGAATCTCCTTCACCTGCTCCTTGATTACTCGGAAACTCACATCCACCTCAAAGTCAAAGTCTGTGCCATACATGTGTATAGCCATGTCCTCATACAGCTCCTGAATATCCATAGCATTCGTGTCTGTTTGGACTTCTTTGGAGGACTGGAATACCGGGGTTGGGATTCGTACAGCATCATCTGACATCAACCGCTTATTTTGTTGCCGAGTGCGTTCCCTCTGGATTTCCTCAGCCAGCCACTTTTCTGTCTCCTTCTGCTCTGTCTCAGTGAGGTGGAAGAGGTTGCGTTTGATAAAGATGGTCACCTTCTTCTTGATGTCATCATCCAGCTGTTTTCGACTGGTGGATCCATACCCGGTGATTGGCTCTGTTGTAGGAAGGGAACTTTTTTGAGAAGATGTATATTGAGATCAAATGTTTAGACGATTTGTCATTATTTGTTTAGTTACAGAAAAATAAGACTTGTTTTATGTTGATTTAATTCCAAGATTACTATCTTTGTTTTCATTTTTAAACATTTAAATATGAAATAATGGTTCACCAGAAAAATAAATGATCTTTTTTCTTTCTCATTTCTAGAATTCTGAAAAGTATCAAAATCATCTCTTTGGTTGGATTTAGTTAAACTTCTGAAATGGACAAGGAACATACAAACCAGAAGCCACCACCAAAATAAGCAACAGTGCATGCTAAGCAAAATGAAGCAAAACTAGTTCAATAATTGTCTTGTGCCCAAACATTCTTACATCACAAACTGGGATAAACTATTAAAAACAATTCCCTTTTGATGAGAAATTGTTTTTAATACTCATATTTGTGTAACATGTTTTAAGCATTGCTTAGAAAATAATGTAGTCATTTAAAAATGAAAGATATGAAATATAAAATAACTTACTGTTCTCTGCAAGCTTTTAATTACACAAAAGTTACTTGATGCTGTCAGTATGTAATAAGTGAAACAGTTTCATATGAATTTGTCGGGGATTTTGCATTTTGATGATAAAAATAACAAATTTCTTATATTATTTTAATGATGATTTGTTATATGTAATGATGCTGAAAATTAGTTAGAAATGGAGTGACATTTTGTGGACTAGAATTTTATACAGAAAATAAATTGTATCAAATTGACATCTGACTATTTGAGGAAACAAGTTAGTGTGTGTGAACATCATATCTCTCCAGCCCAACATTCAGTTGACATCAGTATGAAAAAGCCTCCCACATGCATTTAAGATAATCATGACAATCTGAACTTTATGAATTACTTATGTCTTAATTCACAAAGAGAGATGAATCATTTCAAATATTTCACATGTGCCTACAAGGAGCAGAGAAGGGTTGGGTGCAGCGTTAGTAACCTTTTTGAGAGGGCACTCCAAATATTGCACCTGAAGCTGTGATGGATGATGTAATCTTGAGTTTAGCTTCTCTGTTCTTCTCCTCGATGTAGCTAGTCTTCATCTTCTCTGCCAGCCAGGGGTTGGTTATGGACAGGATCTCCAGCAGGGTGGTGAAGGCCTTGTAGCCTCTCTTGGGCAGCAGCTCCAGCAGGCGGTGGGCCTTGCTCACGTAACTCAGCTCATTCTGAAACACCAGGCATACATGACTTGCCTGTGGGCCTTGATCACATCAGTCAGCTCATTCTGAAATACCAGGAATATATTACATGCCTGTGGGCCTTGATCACATCAGTCAGCTCATTCTGAAATACCAGGAATATATTACATGCCTGTGGGCCTTGATCACATAAGCCAGCTCATTCTAAAAACACAAGGAACATATGACATGCCCATGTACCTTGATCACATAAGTCAGCTTATACCGAAACACCAGAAATACATGATATCCCCATGTACCTAGATCAGATGGGTAAACTTATTCTGAAACACCAGGAACACATGATATGCCCATGTACCTTGATCACATAAGTCAGCTCATTTTGAAACACAAGGAATACATGATATCCCCGTATGCATTGATCACATAAGTCAGCTCATTTTGAAACACAAGGAATACATGATATCCCTGTGTGCATTGATCAATTGAACATATTAGTCAGCTCATTTTCAAACACAAGGAATACATGATACCCCCGTGTGCATTGATCACATAAGTCAGCTCATTTTGAAACACCAGGAATACATGATATCCCCGTGTGCATTGATCACATAAGTCAGCTCATTTTGAAACACAAGGAATACATGATATCCCCGTGTGCATTGATCACATAAGTCAGCTCATTTTGAAACACAAGGAATACATGATATGCCCATGTGCCTTGATCACGTGAGTGACAGCTTATTCTGCTGAAACACCAGGAATACATTATATCCCAATGTGCCTTGATCACATAAGTCAGCTTATTCTGAAACACCAGGAATACATTATATCCCAATGTGCCTTGATCATGTGAGTCAGCTCATTTTGAAACACAAGGAATACATTATATCCCAATGTGCCTTGATCACATAAGTCAGCTCATTCTGGAACACAAGGAATACATAACTTCCTGTGGGCCTTGCATTCTGAAGTATCAGTACGATTCACTAACTTGATGTTGACAATAAAAGTATACTCACGCAACCATTACACTTTCTTTTAAGCTATAGCTTAAGGGAATGTATTTGCAAAGGTGTTATAAGGGAATGTATTTGGAAAGGTGTTATAAGGGAATGTATTTGGAAAGGTGTTATGAGGGAATGTATTTGCAAAGGTGTTATAAGGGAATGTATTTGGAAAGGTGTTATAAGGGAATGTATTTGCAAAGGTGTTATAAGGGAATGTATTTGCAAAGGTGTTATAAGGGAATGTATTTGCAAAGGTGTTATAAGGGAATGTATTTGGAAAGGTGTTATAAGGGAATGTATTTGGAAAGGTGTTAGGAGGGAATGTATTTGGAAAGGTGTTATAAGGGAATGTATTTGGAAAGGTGTTATAAGGGAATGTATTTGGAAAGGTGTTATAAGGGAATGTATTTGGAAAGGTGTTATAAGGGAATGTATTTGGAAAGGTGTTATAAGGGGAATATTTTCCACACAGGTTCAGTTCTGTTTATATCCATATACCGGTGCGCAAAACATACTCGTTGGCAAAAGTAATTATCAACATTTGAATGTATTGATAACTGAAAATTGATAATACTTGTGTTGCTATAAGATGACATGTTACTTTCATGATTCTGGTTACTGATCTGTAGTGTTGGGAATTAGTTGTATAATCATGATTGATGATTGGATTGTCTCAATCGATTGAGCATCAAGATTTAATGATTAATGTCATTTTGCTTTTTAAAAATGTAATTTTCAATAGAACTAGATCACATCTGACAAAAACAAACATATATATTTACTTCTGGACTTTATTTTTAAATATAGACACTGGCCACACTCTTTCTCATGTTTTGCTTCAAGTATTAACTACTAATAATAACCTTCTCAGGATAACAAAACTATCTCAGGACTTGACGGATGCAAAATTGTTTGTCTTTGATTATTGCAAATTGCTTTTGAATGGTTTGTAATTTGGACCTTCCAGTAAATCTTCCATAATTTCAATCAATTTGACCGTCACTACTGAACTGATCAGAAGATGACTGTACTGACCTGAACTACAGCGGACATCTCCTTGTCCAGTACATTGCTCTCACAGAACGCACACAGAAAACTCTCAGTGACAACTATTTCATTAGCAAGACGATGTCGGTACTGGCCAAGAACCCTCTTCTCAGATTCCTCCATCTTGGTGGGGACTTGTGTCACTCTGTGGATAAATTTGAACTTTTTCAGACTTTAGGCAACATCCTGCTTTGTCATAAACGTGATGTGATAAAGATTTTTGTTAGTATATTTTACATGTACAGTGAAGATATCAACAAGGATCAGTGAATTGGAAGCGCTAATCCTTCAAGTTTGAAATCAATATGTTGATTGGTTTTGTTAAGATATCTCATGTAAAGACTAAGACATTTCGTAATCAGAAATCTATATCAGTGACCTGTAAAAGGTTAATCTTATCGTTTTTCTAAGTGGTTCCGAGTCAATACTTCTCAAAGTTTGTCAAATAGCAGTAATTGATTTGCCAAGAAACAACTTGTTTGGAACAATTGTAAATAGTTTAAAATAAACTTTATAGAAAATACTTGGTCAAACACAGTATCTAGAAATTCAATTTTCTTCCTGTATATTTATACAGCAGAAAAATATATTATTAGTTCATTACTGGAAACTTGATACATTCACACACATTCATTGGAGTGTTACAAACATTATTATTAAAACACTTAAACATTGTAAGAATGAACATTGGGTTTGTATCACTAAGACACAACCAGTACTTCAAAGTGATGTGTTGATGGTTATTTTTTCATTTTGTCCCAAGTTCATGTTTTTAGTCATCCATTGTTTTAGTTTTAACATATGAATAGATTAAAAAAGAATAAGATAAAAGAATTATTTTCTTTCACCCAAACATTCAAAGTTACCTCACCTCGTATATTCCCCTCGTCCTTCGTCCTTCAGTCTCTACATGGAAACACCCTGACTGAGGCCGTCGTCAGCAAGGGATCAGTGCTACATCGCTTCACTGACTGCCTTGTTTGAGTCCAAACCTTTGCCAAGCCAATCGACAACATGCAATAGAGATACCTGGATCATAACTCATATCTCGCCATGCTTACTGTATTACCCATGATACACACGGAATGCCTGGGAATCGTGGCCACGACACAGGGTTGTCGTATGGATTGGAAATTAAATCCCGTGCTGTCATTACAATGCAGGGGCTGAGGCTATTTGTAGATGTGTATAGATGTTTTGTCATTATCAATCACTGTAATCAGCTTGGACTGAGACATCAGGTGGCTAGGATTCAATACTGACAATTGTAGATCACTGCTGGAAAACTTTTAACACAGAGGATACACGGTAGAGGTACAGGAAATGGACCATGGTGTAATGTAACATGGGCATATTTTTCAAATGATATGATGCATGTGAATTTATTTATGAAGTAATACTTTAATTGATGTTATGTAAAAAAAATCTTTATCAGGACACTTTGATTTCAGTTATAAATAATAATTGATAGTTTAACTATCAGCTTTATCTTCATTCATGCAGAATTTATGGAAATTTTGGAGTAAAATTCACCTTCATTGTACCTGCATCACTAACACTCTGATGGGTAAGAAGTTAATCCTGCGCCATGACTGTGGAATTTATATATATGCATATAGTTATTATTTAGTTGTTTTTTACTAAAAGCCAAGGCAAGTCTAGTTTCCTTGATCCCACAGTCTATGAAAACAGCAGAAGAGGGAAGGTTCTTTTGAAAAAAATATTTTATAAAAGAAATTTTTTCATAATCTAAGTTAGCCTTGTAAGGAGTATAAGACTCTGATGTATGTGTCACCTTGGAAAACACACAGAAGCCATTAGCTGGATACTCAAAAATAAACATTTCAAGGTTAGAATATTTGCCTAATGCTGCTATTTACAATGTTTAGTCCATTGAAGAATATTTCCTGATTTCACTTATGTTTTATCAAAGTTTGCATTCATTATTTTCTGTGTTGATTACAGGTATTCTCATGTAGGTAGTTTACTGTAAATATCAAGGTATACTACCAGTCGCTTAGTTCAGTAATTACTCTTCAAGTTACGGGAGGTGGGACCAGAGGTCATGGGGTCATGAACAACAGTTCAGTAATTGCCAGTTGTCATGTGCAAGGCAAGGGTTTGACGATCAGAAGACTTTGCAATCTCTTTGAGGTGTTATCAGTGATCAATTTGTACTGCTCAACTGTTTCAAAGTTGATCTTTGCCTGTCCATTGTAAGTCTACAGCTTCAGTGTGTGACCAACAAATAGATCCATGATCACCTTTTTGTGGGGACCTTGTAGGCTTTGTCAGCTTTTTTATTGTGAGTGTCGCGTGACATTGCAACTGTTACCTGTTCTTTGAAATTTTTGTTGGCTTTTGATTGGAGCTGGTGAATAGCAGACAGACAAGGAGAAACCCAGTGAATATAGGAATGTTGAAGATTAGGTTACATATTATGCACAGCTTCAGTTCATCTCATGTGTTGAAGTGTAGTGATATCTTCACTTAATCTGTTGGCTAAAACCTGTCAATGTATTTCAAGTTCAGTTCCCATGACAGGAAGGATAGCCGTAAGCTTGACATTGATATATGACTAGTAAACAGAAATATTAAACAGGACTTCTCACAGCAAACAGAACTGGAAAACTGATCAGTTATATTAGTTATTTAATGAGTTAATTCAACATTTTAGCAGGTACTAAAAATATACAACTAGGAAGTTAAAGAACACCCAATTGTTTTATATGACTTTGGTAATTTATTTATATTACTGACCCATATAAAAAATGGGTGTTCTTTAACTTCTTTTGAGTAGTATATAACCATCTGATAAAATTTGTTAATAGATGAGAACCATCACTAAGTAATCAGATATCGTTACTGATTCATTACTTTACACTAATGCTTCCATAATATTTTGAAGTGTTTAAAGTTAATTAATGTACTTAATACAGTTCTTAAGTCACACTTTGTCAGCTTAATGAGAGAGGAAAGATAAAGTCATGGAAAGGTACCACTTTTATGAAACCCTTAAGCTTGGGTATCATGATGCTGGAACACATGCATAAGAATCTGGACAAATCTGAGATTCGAACCTACAAGAAAAACCATCCTGGGGCTGCCATAAGAGATGTGATGCTGTAAGTAAATTATGGCGTGTTAGGGCTACAGTTTAGGGGCGGTCGGGTAGCCTAGTGGTTAAAGCGTTAGCTCGTCACGCCGAAGACCCGGGTTCGATTCCCATCATGGGTACAATGTGTGAAGCCCATTATTCGTGTCCCCTGCCATGATATTCTCGAATATTGCTAAAAGCGGCGTAAAACCTCACTCACTCAGTTACTGAGTGAAAAGTTACTGCCTCCAGTGCAACATGCTTTGTCAGAGCTGCCTAATTGGTGTCTGGGTGTTGTGACTTGGCTGATTGTGTGGTTGCTCATGCTTCCAGTCTCTGGTCCAGGCTCCATTATTTACAGGCTCTCGTGATATAGCTGGAATATTGCTGCCTGTGGCATTAAACAAAATTCATTCACCCACTTGCTCCAAATGATGAACCAAAGCCACACAGATCAAGGAGCATGGTTATCCCAATTTGCTATTCATAGTTGCCTCCCTGGCTGGTGCAAGGCTCCACTGACCATGGGTTCATAACCCTGATTATGATCCTTGGTTTGAAAGCACTATAACTGTGCTAATGGTTTCCACCAAAGTGGTAAACGCCAAAGTCACGTGCCAAGTTAGACTTTTATTCAAAATCAAACAAAAACTAAAACATATCAACCAAACACATTACAGATCAACCAAATAATCTACAGAACAACCAAACACACTACAGATCAACCAAATAATCGACAGATCAACCAAACACACTACAGATCAACCAAATAATCTACAGATCCAACCAAACACAATACAGATCAACCAAATAATCTATAGATACAACCAAACACACTACAGATCAACCGAACACACTACAGATCAACCAAACACACAACTGATCAACCAAACACACTTCAGATCAAGCAAATAATCTACAGATCAACCAAACACACTACAGATCAAGCAAATAATCTACAGATCAACCAAACACCCTACAGATCATCCATATAATCTACAGATCAACCAAACGCACTACAGATCAACCAAATAATCTACAGATCAACCAAACACACTACAGATCAACCAAACACACTACAGATCAACCAAATAATCTACAGATCAACCAAACACACTACAGATCAACCAAATAATCAACAGATCAACCAAACACACTACAGATCAACCAAATAATCTATAGATCAACCAAACACACTACAGATCAACCAAATAATCTACAGATCAATCAAACACACAACAGATCAACCAAATAATCTACAGATCAACCAAATAATCTACAGATCAACCAAACACACTACAGATCAACCAAATAATCTACATATCCAACCAAACACACTACAGATCAACCAAATAATCTACAGATCAACCAAACACACAACAGATCAACCAAATAATCTACAGATCAACCAAACACACTACAGATCAACCAAATAATCTACAGATCCAACCAAACACACTACAGATCAACCAAATAATCTACAGATCCAACCAAACACATTACAGATCAACCAAAGAATCTACAGATCAACCAAACACTACAGATCAACCAAATAATCTACAGATCAACCAAACACACTACAGATCATCCATATAATCTACAGATCAAGCAAATAATCTACAGATCAACCAAACACATTACAGATCAACCAAATAATCTACAGATCCAACCAAACACAATACAGATCAACCAAACCCACTACAGATTAACCAAATAATCTACAGATCAACCAAATACATTACAGATCATCCAAATAATCTATAGATCCAACCAAACACACTACACATCAACCAAATAATCTACAGATCAACTAAACACACTACACATCAAACAAATAATCTACAGATCAACCAAACACACTACAGATCAACCAAACACACAACAGATCAACCAAATAATTTACAGATCAACCAAACACATTACAGATCAACCAAATAATCTACAGATCCAACCAAATAATCTACAGATCAACCAAACACACTACAGATCAACCAAATAATCTACAGATCAACCAAACACACTACAGATCAACCAAATAATCTACATATCCAACCAAACAGACTAGAATTCAACCAAATAATCTACAGATCCAACCAAACTCACTACAGATCAACCAAATAATCTACAGATCAGTCAAACACGTTACAGATTCATCAAACACGTTACAGATGAACCAAACACACTACAGATCAACGAAATAATCTACAGATCCAACCAAACACAGAACAGATCAACCAAATAATCTACAGATCAATAAAAAATCTACAGATCCAATCAAACACACTACAGATCAACCAAACACACTACAAATCAACCAAATAATCTATAGATGAACTAAATAATCTACAGATCCAACCAAACTGGCTACAGATCAATCAAATAATCTACAGATGAACCAAACACACAACAGACCAAGCAAATAATTTACAGATCAACCAAAATAACTAAAGATCAACCTTATAATCTATGGATCAACCAAACACACTACAGATCAAGGAAATAATCTACAGATCAACCAAACACACTACAGATCAACCAAATAATCTACAGATCCAACGAAACACACTACAGATCAAGCAAATAATCTACAGATCCAACCAAACACACTACAGATCAACTAAATAATCTACAGATCAAACCAAACTCACTACAGATCAATCATATAATCTACTGATCAGCTTAACACGTTACAGATCCATCAAACACACTACAGATCAACCAAACACACTACAGAACAACCAACTAATCTACAGATCAACTAAATAATCTACAGATCTAACCAAACTGACTACAGATCAACCAAATAATCTACTGATCAACCAAACACACTACAGATCAAACAAATAATCTACAGATCAACCAAACACATTACAGATCAACCAAATAATCTACAGATCCAACCAACACAATACAGATCAACCAAACCCACTACAGATTAACCAAATAATCTATAGATCAACCAAATACATTACAGATCATCCAAATAATCTATAGATCCAACCAAACACACTACGCATCAACCAAATAATCTACAGATCAACTAAACACACTACACATCAAACAAATAATCTACAGATCAACCAAACACACTACAGATCAACCAAACACACAACAGATCAACCAAATAATTTACAGATCAACCAAACACATTACAG